CTCTCTCTCTCTCTCTCTCTCTCTCTCTCTCTCTCTCTCTCTCTCGGTCAGAGGACAACTTGCAGGAGTCGACTCTTTTTCCACCATGCGGATCCCAGGGATCAAACTCTGGTCATCAGCTTTGGTGGCAAGTTCCTTTCCTGGCTGAACCATCTCTCCAGCCTGAAAAGCTTTTTAATTTGAGGTGCTATCCTCTTATCGCTGTTTTTGCACTTGGCATCTCTGTACCTTGGAGTCATTTCTGGGAGGTTCTTGCCTTCCTGCATGGTTTCCTGCATGGTTTCTTCTAGTTCGAGTTTCAAGTCTTGTATTTGGGACTTGGAGTTGATGTCTGTCTGGGGAGAATGGTCTACTTCCAGTCCCTCTGCATTATTACCCAGACTCCCAGCCTGCTGTCTAGTCTCTATGATGCTTTGGGAAGCTTTGTTGAGACTTGCTTGTCCCATGTGACATGGTACATGGCAGAGGACGGCTTCAGGGAGTTGGCTCTCCTTCCACCACAGGTTCTGGGATTCAAACTCAGGTCATCAGGCTTGCATGGAAAGTGCCTTTGCTCACTGCTCACACACTCTTGATTTAATATCTGAATCTGATGGGCTGCATTTTTACCCACTCCTGAAGGGACGCATGAGCTCGCACCCCTGGCTGCTGAGCTACGGATAGTTTGATGGCTTCTGGGGAGGGAGCGTGCCCCTGGTAGGTGGACCATGGCTGCTCACCCAGGAGTACATGGGCAGCACAAATAGGACTTGGTGGGTTATTTTTAAAAAAAAGGAAAAAAGGAAGTTGGAGCTGGGGAGGTGGGGCCTGAATCTAGGAAGAGTTAGGGGCAGAGGGAATTAAATATGATAACATACTCTATGAAATTGTCAAAGAATGAAAATGTATTAAAAATAAGGGCTAGAGAGATGGTTCAGTGGTTAAGAGCACTGTCTGCTCTTGCAGAGAACCCAGGTTTGATTCCCAGCATAAAATAAATATTAAATAATAATAAAATAGGCCGGGTGAGGTGGTTAACACCTTTAAATCCCAGCATTCAGATCAGAAGCAGGCAGATCTCCATGAGATCAAGTCCAACCTGGTCTACATAGAAAGTTCCAGGCTAGCTGGGGCTGCTTGTCTCATAAAGCTAAAAATAAATAAAAATACCCTATCCAAAGTCAGTTTTTGAGAGTGAAATTTCATCTAGGGCAGAAGATAAAGTTCCCTTACTAAATGCTTTTTTCAAAATTGTCTATTTCTCAAAAATTTATTCTTTGACAGTTAATTTCCTACATGTATGTAACACGTTGCGATCCCTTACCCCACCTTCTCTTACCCCTCCGCCACTCCATCAGCTGCTCCTCCCACCGAGTTCCATCAGTGAAAAATAATTATTTTCTGCATTTGTCTGTGTGTATCATGTATGTTTCAATGTTGGCATGCACATGCCACGTCAGGAGTATGGCACTGAGAACAAGGAGTCAGTCCTCTCCTTCCACTTTGCGGGTTCCAAGGTTGAACTCAGGGGGTCAGGCTTGGCAGCAAGTGCCTTTCTTCCCTCCTGAGCCATTTCTCTGGCCCTCACCCCACTTTCCTGTTGTACTGGTCACTTTTCTGTTGCTGTGATAAAACTCCATGACTGAGGCAACTTATAGAAGGAAGAGTTTATTGGGCTTATGTTTCCAGAGGAATGAGAGTCTATCACGGAGGGAGGGATGAGGGATGAGAGTCCATCATGGAGGGGAGGGATGGCAGGAGGCAGCCAAAGCAGGAAGCTGAGGGCTCACATTTCCAAGCAGGCCCAGGAAGCAGAGACCAGCTGGAAGTGGGCATGGGTATATGCCCCTAACGCCTGCCCCCACTGATGGCTTCCTCCAGCAAGGCTACACCTTCAAAAATTAACTGCAGCCTATGTGGGACATTTGTTTAAACTACCACACATCTTGTTTTTGTTTTTGCTTTGTGACCACTGGATTTAACCTGGGCTGCCCATGCGGGCATGGCTGTGGGGTTGTCCACTGGAACAACGGCCACACACCAAAGACCATAACTTCTCTCCAGCAGCCAATAAATCCCCAGATTGGGGGCTCTGAATGCTTTTTAGGGGAAAAAAAATGAGTGGAAAATGTATTTTGCTTACCACCCATAAATGGCTTTTGTTGTTCTTTGTTTCTGGGACAGGATCTGTGTGTGTATGTGTGTATAGCCCTTGCTAGCCTGGTACACACTATGTGGCAGAAGCTGGTCTCGAACTTGTGGTCCTCCTGCCTCAACCTCCCAAGTGCTGGAATTACAAGTGTGCATCACCATGCCTGGCCCATTGCCATTCATCGCTGTGAAGCGTAACTATCAATGGAGCTGTAGGGTAAGTCCCAGCACCCCAACTTCACAGATTCTGAGGCTTCGAGAGACTGGGAAGCTCTTTAAGTCACACAGTTCCTCATTTGAACTAAGCCCAGAGGACTCCAACCGAATCCACTGGCTTTCCTCCGCCCTGGGCTACCTCCATAGAATGACAAGGGTTATATGGCAATTTTAGAATCTACGGGATCCAAAATATTTCAGCACCTCATTCATTAAAAATACATGTTTCAGGCTCATAAAACAACTCAGAGGGCAAAAGGACCTGCCTCCAAGCCTAATGACCTGAGTTCAATCCCCAGGACCCATAGAGTGGATGCAGAAAACTGACTCCCACTAGTTAGTTGTCTTCTGACCGCCACACTCAGTGTGGCACACATGCACAAGTAAAAGCATAAAATGTAATAAAACAAGGCAAGAGATGTAGTTTAATTAGTGGCCTTCTTTCCTAGCCTTGCCTAGCACACAGCCCTGGGTTCGAGCCCCAGAACCATATAAACCAGGCGTCGTTATGCATACCTGTGATCCTAGCACTTAAGAGGTAGAGGATCAGAGGATCAGGAGGATCAGAGATTTAAGGTTATCCTTGGTTACATAAAGAGTTTGAGACTGGCCTGGGCTACATGAGAAACTTTAAAAATTTTATTTGCCTCTCTTCCTCCTTAAGGTACAGTACGAGTGGGCAAAATAATAGATTTCCTGAGCCAAACCGCTAGCCAGGACTTGGGAGACAGTGCCCTTGAGGAGCTGTGGACTGTGCTCGATCCTGGAAAGACGGATGTACATATGGACCTGAGCACATTCCAGGCCATCATGAAGGAGTGGATGACTTGCTGCAGAAATAGGTGAGCAGGGTCCAGCAGAACCATCCCCGTGGACCTGAGCACTCCTTTACTTTGATGGAAATACTGCCATTGAGGGAGTATTTCACTTCTGCAGCCGGGGATCTCCTGAAAGATGGCTGGGCTGGTGGCTGAGCCCCTCGACCAGCACTGAGCAGGGCTCAGGTGAAGCCTGATGGTGTGTATTCTAGACAGTTCCCAGGTGCTGTGGCTGCAGAGGGGGTGTATACCTTTGAGGACCACTCCCCAAGTACTAATCAAGCTCAACCCTGCTTAGCTTCCCAGATCAGGCATGGTCAGGATGAAATGGCTGTAGACGAGTATTATTTTCACAAGAACTGAGCCAGCACAAGAACGGAGTGAGTCATTGATATCCACTAGCAAACTGCCAGTGTATGTAAACTCAAAAAGTCCCCGTTTAAGTCAACGCAGTAACGTGGGGTCACATGGACATCCAGGATGTCAGGCTACTGGAAAGAGGAAAAATAACGAGAGGGGGACGGAAGGTGAGAGAACAGGCTGTCCTGGATCTCAGTGGCCCTGGTGGGACCTGAAGTGCGGCTGCTTTTCAGGAACCAAGTCCTGGTGCCACTTAGCTGCCCATCTTGGCTAGTAGAGCCACAGACCGGAGATTGTTGAAAGAAAACATCCAGCCCTAGGAGTGCGGGGCTCCGTGGTTCCCTGGTAAAGACGTACAGGTGACATAAGAAACAGGACAGATCTTTTGGTTGCCGTACATGGGGCAATATAAACACACAAAATATACAGTTTACAGGTAATCAAGGAAATGCAAATGAAGGGGCTGGGAGATGGCTGCATAGGTAAGAGTGCTTGCTGTGCAAGTATCAGGACCCGAGTTCAAATCCCTAGTACCTATGTAAGTAGCAGTGTGGCTGAACAGGCCTGTGACCTCTGTTCTTTTCTTTCTATGGTTCTTATAAAAACACTCACCAAAACAACTTGGGGAGGAAAGGGTTTATTTTATCTCACATCTCCCAGATCACAGCTTATCACTGAGGGAAGTCAGGACAGGAACTCAGAACAGGAACCTGGAGGCAGGAGCACAGGCCATGGAGGAACGCTGCTTAGTGGCTGCTCCTCTGGCCTGTGCTCAGCCTACCTTGTTTCAAATATTTTTATTTTATGTGTACGATTATATTGCCTGCATGTATTTAAGTGTACCAGCATGCAGTGCCCACAGAAGTCAGAAGAGGGTGCTAGATACCCCTGAACTGTAGTTACAGGCAATTGTTAGCTGCCATGTGGGGTTCAAATCCGGGTCCCCTGCAAGAGCAGTCGGTGCTCTTAGCCCCTGAACTGTCTGTTGCTCCAGTCCCATCCTTCCCAGTGTTTAAGACTCATAAGCTGCTGCCTTTGCAAGTCTGCACTGACCCCCCTGAGCTATGTCCAAACCACTGGGACCCTGTCCCCTAACCAGGCGTTGCCCAGCAACATTTACCTGCTGTTTCTGCATGCGGGGGTCTCCGTATTTCAGAGCTTACAGGTGGTACAGGTAATTTTATTTTGGGTTTTGATCAATGTCCACTTTGTTTATCGAGTCAGGGGCTCTCTCTCATCTAGCCTGGAGCCTGCTGATTCTGGCTAGGGTGTCTAGCCTGCTCACCCTGGGGATCTTCCTGTCTCTGCTTCCTGAGTGCTGGGATTGCAGGTGACTGCCACACCTGCCTGGGTTTTAAGTGGCTCCAAACTCAGATGCTCATGTGTGTGCTGAGTGCTTTACCCACTGAGCTGTCTCCCCAGCCCCTGGAATAGATAGTCTAAGACTCAGAGGGAAATAGTTAAATATCAAAGTACAGAACATAGCTAAATACTGCGTGGGACTTTGGTCTGGCGAGGGTCCTGGCTCACTGGGTCTGCCCTCACGTGCAGGGAAGAAACAAGAAGTCAGTCAGATGACAGCACAGAAGACGCTGTGTTTGAACTACAGGACGGTGAGCGAGCAGGTGGGCTGTGTGGGGGCTGTTGGGGCTTCCTGGCTGCTGTCCTGCAACGTGGAGAAGGTGAAGTATTCATAAAACTCTCTTGTAGGTGTTACAGTTGTGATGAGCACAGACATCACAGATACCCCGTTGGGCTTCGAGGCTTGGTATGGAGTCGTGTCTGAGGGAGTCTTGTAAGAGCTCTGCGCTTTCTTAATGCCTCTACTGCCCTTCTTTCTTTCCCTGTTTTTTTCACAGATCCACAGATTCTACTTTGTGGTAGAACACAAGTGACTTTAAAATTTCAAGTATTCGGAACCATCTGCATTAGAACTGGTTTCACTGGGAACAGAGGTTCTTGTAAGATTGGTAATCTAAAACCGGAAGCCCTTTCCTCCATAGATTCCCAGTGTTTTCTATAAAAAACCAAGTTCCATTCAAAAAACTGTCCTGAAGTTAACCGTTAGGTCACTGGGATATTTTATACATATGAGTGTATGTATATGTATGTAAATATTTGGATTATTAAAAAATTAATTTTTTAAAATTGTACTTAATTTAATTTTTTTATTTTTTGGTCTTTTTAAGACAGGGTCTCCCTGTAGCCCCAGCTGGCCTGGGACTCACTGTGTAGACCAGGCTGGCCTTGAATTCAGAGATCCACTTGCCTCTGCCTCCTGAGTGCTGGGATTAAAGGTGTGTGACACCACTCCTAGCCTACTTCATTCTTTAATTTTTAAGAGTTTCTGAGACAGAGTCTCCTTGTAGGCTCAGGCTGGCCTGGAACTTATTATGTAGATCAGTCTAGCCCAGATCTCTGAGATCCATCTACCTCTGCTGCCTGGGTGTTAGGCTAAAGGTATGGCCACCACATCCAGCCCTAGATTTTATGCATAGTGTTTTGCTTGTATGTATGTAAGTGTACCATATGTGTACAATGCCCCCACAGGCCAGAAGAGAGCTTTAGATTCCCTGGAACTTGAGCTAAGAACAGGTGTCAGCCACCACATGAGTGCCTGGAACCGAACCCAGGTCCTCTGCAAGAGCAGTGAGAGCTCTTAACCACTGAGCCATCTCTCTAGCCTCTATATTGGATTTTTATTAAGACGGCATCTCATAGCTCAGGTTGGCCTGAAACTCTGGATAAGGCCGAGGATAACCTTGTGCGCCTGGTCCTCCCGCCTCCGCCTCCTGAGTGCTGGGATTGCTGGTGTGTGCTCCCGTGCCTGGCTGGAAAGAGCTTTGATGATCTCTCTAGCCTCTATATTGGATTTTTATTAAGACGGCATCTCATAGCTCACGTTGGCCTGAAACTCTGGATAAGGCCGAGGATAACCTGTGTGCCTGGTCCTCCCGCCTCTGCCTCCTGAGTGCTGGGATTGCTGGTGTGTGCTCCCCTGCCTGGCTGGAAAGAGCTTTGTTACTGTGTAGTGTTTGTTGTCGGTGTGAACTGATTATGATAAGGAGGGGAAGAAGGAAATGTCTTTGGACTGTTTATTCCTGTTTGGATTTAATCACGTGCCTTACTGTGCTCAGAAGGGATGGAGAGTGATGATGATGATTCGTGTGTCATCTCTCCCCTCCAGAGCAATGTCTGATTTGATTACCTACATGGCAGACCTGCACTTAAACAAGCAGAGATTGGAGGAGGAAAACTCTAAGTGTAAGTTGGCCTTGGACGCTCTGGAAGAGGCCAACAGGCAGTTAGCAGAGGATTGTGCTGAACTGCGCCTTCAGATAAAAAGGTGAGCCACAGTGCTGGGCTTTCAGGTTTGCATTGTCTCTTAAATCCTTGGCTGAGTATCATGTACATAGCACAACGTCCACCCTTTGAAAAGGTCGAATCAGTGGTTTCTTCTATGCTGACAAGGCTGTATGGCCATCACCATGATCAAACCCAAGAATATTTTCATTTCAGGAAGAAACTCAGTGCCCGTCGACGGTTACTGCAGACTTCTCTCCCCTTCTCCCAGCCCCCAGCAGCTACTAATCTGTTCTGCATATTTGATATAAATGGACTCTTAACACTACGTGGCCTTCTGTGCCTGGCTGTTACTTGGCATCATGTTTTCCAAAGGTTTGCCCAGATTATAGCAGATAATCAATCATTCCTTCATTCCTTTTTATGCCTGAGTGCTATTCCATTGTATGGACATACCACATTCTGTTTATCCATTCTTCAAGTGATAGACATTGGGTTATTTATACTTCTTGGTTGTTATGATAATGCTGTTAAGAGCATTTGTCAGTTATATGTACTGATGTTTTCAATTCTTCTGGGTATAATTAGCAGTGGAGCTGCTGTGTCATAGAGTAAGCTTATACAGAGCAGGAAGTGAACCATCCAACGTTCCTACCAGAAATATTTGTCAGCTCTTTCCCAGTGGTGATAGACTTTGTGTAATGCAACACAATGTTGCCTATGACCAGGGCATCTGTGGATTTACAAGAGCAGGCCACACGTCAGAGGAGTCTACCATCGCAAGTGTGGCTGCTAAAATGTCCCAAAGTTCTGGGTTAAATCAGATGAAAATAGCACAT